CGGTAGCGTCTCGAGTGCAATTTGGCCTGCATAATGGCTTGAGGGGCAGTCGATATACAAGTCAGCATTTTATCCTGCCAGAAAAGTGTGGTGCCAAGGCTCTGGTGAAATGGAAGGCTTGATCGGTCTGTACAGCAGGCGATCCAGGATTCGATCCCTGACCGTGTGAGCAGTATGTGGCACACCCTGCTCCCCATCAGAATTGTTATTAGGAACAAAAAATCAAACCCGATGGCGAATTTCGTACACAAATGTAAGACGTTGAAAAATAAATATAAAAGGCTATCAACTTACAGTGTGCGCAACTTCTTGAGGCCTCGAAATGCATTGGGATCGATGTTCCGCAAATTGTTTTTCGAAAGATCCCTAAAACCACCAAATGCTGCAATGTTTGTAAGTGTGAAACTAAAAAAATACCCTGAAGCCTTCGGATAGAAAAACCAAGTCTTTGGAATTATTTCATTTGATTGACTTCTTCATGTAATTTTCAAAGGAATACATTTAAAGCACATTTTTAACCCATTATAAACATTCGCAAGGCGAGCTGCAGCTAAAAGCAGCGGCTATTAATAAAAAATAAGTCAAATATGTATGGGCAATCACTATTTTATATCTAATATGTATAATCATAACGGTGAAGCAATTTTTTCTTTTGCTCTGGATCACATTTACTTTCAATAGAATAATTCTTGATGATATTGGTGTACTTTGAATGCAGGTAGGAAGTACTAGACAATAAAATTGATAAACAGTAACAGATAAAGAACATAAAAGATAAACAGATAAAAATAATCAATGAGATAGTAAAAGATAATGAATTACATTAAAAATGATCAATAATTATCCGCACCATGTATGAGTGGAAATCCAAACTGCTAGGAGTCACAGGAATCCAAAACTCTCCACTCTATCAACCTCTACCACACACTACCATTACGCCATGTGTCACAGGAACTTTCTTCTCATCCCATGTGGCCCAATCGATACTTATGGTTGGAACGTCAGTCCCATTCTTCCTGTAGATCTACTGAATAGCTCGAACTTGTTGAACCTTGTTCATGTAGGCCTTTATAGCACTGAGTATA